GAGTTTGAGGTGCGGAATGGAGTGAAGTCCAGTCAGCTTCCATATGCAAATGACCTTGAAACGCTGGCCCAATCAGAGAAGAGTGGCCTAGGCTGCGGTGGGTGGGAGAGAAGAGTGGACCCAGCACCCATCCAATGCCAACTGATTACTTTTGATATATAATCATATATTTATAAGATTTGTGTTGGTTTTTGTTCATTGGGTGATGATGTAAATGCTGATGGTCTCTAAAAGCCTGAAGCTGCCAGACGAAGAGCAAGAGGAAGCTAACACCCTTTCCTTGAGCCTGGATCTAACTCCAACTGAGAGCCCCTCCCTCTTACTTCTAAATGCTGTGAGTGGGACCTTCATGGGGAGGGAGGCACAGTAAGGCACTCTACTCCCCATGGAATCTCTGGGTTTTCATTCGTTTTGGATTATTGTTCCTGTGAGCCTCTCCCTGAGTCAATTTTGCCTAGGAAATGGTTGAAAAATATATACCTAGCTAAACCAAATAGTATATCTAATCTCAAAACAATGAGAGGGGGTATTTGGCACAAGCCCCACCATTATGCCCTCTGTATTCAGAGACTGTTTCTTGAGTTTCACTGTTTAGGCTAAAGAACAATCTTTGAGAGGGTGGGATCATGTTCTGTGCAGCTGTGTCCAAGGAAAGGAAAGGCATATGCCATGGTAGGTAGGAAGTGTACTCCAATGAAAGCTCACAGTAGTAGACAAGAGGAAAACATGCTCTTTTGGGAAGTCTACCAAACACTGAATCTATTGCTGTCCCACACCCCCATCCCTGATTTACAGAATGAAAACTTTGCATACTAAATCCAGGTCCTTACTAGTTGGTTGGTTGTTCTCACGTCATTTTATTTCATCTAAGAATAATTAAAACTGCAAATGGAATTATCTGGAGTTGCCACTTGCCACTTTATGTTGCATCTAGGAGAAGGGGAGGGGTCATAAGTGCTGCCCAGCAAGCTGAATTTGGTCATATTACCCCAAGAAAAGCCAAATATGTTGTCCTTAGAATATTGTTCTATGGTCTATCTAATCATAAAATGCCATTATCATCACCATACTAAGGAATGGGGGGAGGGAGCAATACAACTGTTTATTCAAAATGTATCTGGCAACAATAATAGATTTTCAGTCCATTACTCCAAAGTTACAATAGTGATTTTTTTCACAATGAAAAACAAAGACCCACTGTTCTTTAAAAAGATATTTTAAAATATAGTCTAAAGTGATCAAAAGGCAGTTTGTTTTTACAACGGTTTGGCATTGTCATAGGAAATTTTGCTAAGAGCACCTTTGATTTTTGGTGTTTTATCTGTTTTCCACTCTTCTGGTTAAATCCCAAATTAGTCATTCAGCTGGTGAAACAGCTCTAGCATAGTTAAATCAGATGTTTTAATTCTCCTTTGTTCCAAAGCTGACTTTCCTCTCCAGAGAGTATGTAAGAGAGAGTGATCATGTGTGTACAATAAAGGCAGTCAGATTCCAGAGCACACTCCGCTTTTGCTGCTAGTGCTTCTTGGACCATTATGGAATTTTCTTGCCTTCTGTTGCTTTGCAGTGTCTGTTGAAAAGCTAGCCTTGGCAGTTGGACAGAAGAAACGCCTAAACATTTTTGTACACAAGTGAGACCAGACAGCCCATGCTTGTATCGGTTTCACTGAACTATTAAATTGTTTATGTGGCTCTATATATAACAGAAAAAGATTAAGTACATAATCTAATATCTAATAAAGGTAATAATAAAATAGAAAAAATGATACCTTAATTTTATTTGAATTAAATGAAAAAAATCTTCGTGGCAAGGAAGAGCACCATTCCATGATAGATCTATGGACATACCAATCTGCTTTGAAGAAGGCAAGGTGGACATTGAATGGTCTTACTCATGCTCATTGTAGTCTCCAAAGCAGCCGGGGTGCTCTCTTAAAAATAATTGTAACGTATCTTAGATGTATTGCTTTTGGGAGCTGTACAAATGGAATTCTCCTGATTTTTGGCTTGTAGTTAATTGTATTGTTTACAAAAAATGTTTTCTTTGATTTTGATAACTTTTTTCCTAATTGACTGACTGTAGCTAAATAATATGCTAGTTCTCTAAAACTAAATTGCTTCTGAACTAATTACTCCAGATGAGGAAATATGTGGACTGAGAGCCATTCTAATCCCGTGGAGGGAATGGTGGGGGAACTGGACTCACATCCCTGCTCAGCCACGGAGTTGCTGCGTGGTTTAAGAGAAGCCACCCTGCGGTTTGATTAGCCCATCTACCAAGTGGAAATAAGAGTAACTCGATTTCACAGGGTCATTGTTGGGTCGAACAAAAGAGAGGCTGCGTTTGCACAGCAGATTCTATTATGTGTTTGGAAGGCTGCATGGAGTTTGAACAGTTGTGGAAGGTATGGGCAGGCAGGCAGAGACATCCATTTGATATGGTTGGCTGGCAGAGATAATCAGGGGTCCCTGCCAATTAAGAGGGTGTTTTGCGGCTAAACTTCTTGTTTGATGTAAAGTTGGTTAAAACAAATTACAATGAATTCACAAGACTTTTATTTACTTTCTAGCCCTCCTTTCTCACCGAGACTCAAGGCGGATTGTGAAGTATAAAAACAATGCAGTCATGTAGCATAAGACATTAATTAAGCAAAGCAGTAGACCTTGAATTACAAAATTAGAAAACAATGCAAGCCAAAACCATTATAAGATATGATATACCGTAACCTATGTAGAGAATGGATTACAAAAATAGAAGACAGGGTAGTAAGAACAAGAAAGTAATGCGATAAGGGGGGCAACAAACTACAGTACAATTGAAGAAAAGGTGACAAATAGGGTTTGGATCATTGACACTGCAATCCCAGGAAACAGAAGAATACAAAAGAAAGAACAGGAGAATATCACAAAATACCAAGACTAACTAATAGTTAGAGCATCTCTGAGAGAAGAAGATTACCATTATGCCAGCTGTAATTGGAACTCTTGGAGCAGTGCCTAGAAATCTCAAGAAACACCTGGACATTCTTGGCATTGAGCAAATAACACCAGCTCAGCTCCAGAACATAGTGTTGCTTGGAACAGCAAGAATCCTGCAAAGATACATCTGTAGTTCTGAAGAACTTGGCTAGATCTCAAATTGTAGAACACCATCTACGAGTCAAATATATGACTGTGACAATTCACAATAATAATTTAAAAAGTTTCTAGAAATCCACACATTCCTATTCACACTTTTCCTAGTAAGTACCAAAGCAAGTTTGGAAAATATCACAGTGAAACCAGGGAAAACCCAGAAGGTTGGTGGAAACACAATGATGTCATTCAATAGTCCAATTTAAATCTACTTCAATTGGGGGTGGGGGGTGGGGTGGCTCTATGCAGAAGCAAATTTAGTTGACCTTAGCCAGACTTTTCTCTCTCAGCTTCAGTCCAGCACTGAGATGATAATGCTGGCATACCTTAGAGGGATGGTTTAAGTACTACAGTGGGACAGATGAAAAGAACATTCAGAGTTCAAATGTGTATACTTAGTAAACTCCATTGAGTTAGAATGCTTAGGGTTGGACTACATGGAGGACCTTGAGTATAAGACTGAAGCTACTTCCCAGTTTCTTATTTATGGATCCAAAACTTCTGTACCATTTTAGTAATAACTGCTTCAAAACAGGGTGCCCCAGGACAATTAAGAAACTGAGGGCAAAAAGCTAGTCACATAGTTTTGTGAACTCCAGGTCTTAGCCCCAACAAAAAAAAATTCAGGAGTTAAGAACAGCACTTTTCTCTTGGATTTCTCATTCTGTCAGGTTCCATGTAGATCATGATCAATACTGAACTGAAGAAAACATCTGTTGAAGACACAACCAGGATTTGATTATTTTAACGTTGTATATGTTGGCCTACAGTAGCATTTTACAAATGCCTGTGACTTTTCATCTTTCTTTGTCTGAAGAGCTTTTACAACTCATTACAAAAAACCCCCGAACAAAGTATACAGGTTCTGAAGCTATCATTAAGATATTTAAAGGTTGCACGTGAACTTAAAACTTGTCTGATTGAGGTAGAAGTATCAGTGTCCTCTCTAATTACATTTTCCTTTTTTGCAGGAATTGTTTATCTGATATCAGCTCTCAGTAATGTGGAACATAGCAGTGTGCTGCTGACTGTCTCTGCTCGAGATGGAGGTGGTCTTTGTTCAGTTGTTAACGCAGTTGTGACTGTGAGGATCCTCCAAACTGACATGGCTCCTGCCGTATTTGAGCGATCACGCTATACATTTTCTGTCCCTGAAGATCTCCCTGAAGGCAGTGCTGTAGGAACAGTCAAAGCAAGGGAGCCTTTGAGTAAGTGTCCTTGGAATGCATTCAGACAGATTCCAGAACCCCAGATTGCTATGGGTTGCAAACATATGCAGCTGATACTGTTATCGTTATTTTATCCTCTTTCTTTCCAAACAAGCAGAAATAAAAAAACAATAATACTAAGCCTTAAGCCAATTCAGTAACTAATAATTGAAGTAAGTGAGAGCATTTTCTCAAGGTTTTTTTTAATGTATTGTTTCCTTATAGTTTCTTGGCATTAAAATCACATAAACAAACAGATTTCTTTTTTTTCTAGTTACAGCTATAGAAGCTTATAGGAAGTACTGGGCACAATCCACGTACACTGTGAGGGGATTCCAATTCATGTCTTTTGCCTAGGGTTCCCAAATTCCCCCGGGGGGCGGAATTCCCCCCGGTTTCGAGCCCCGATTCCCGCTCCCACGGAATCGGGGCCCGAGGGAACCCCCACCCCCGTGTGTGCGTCACCCGGAAGTGACGTCACACGCTGGGGGCGGGGCGACGCCATTTGAGGGGAAAACAAAGAGTGACGTCACTTCCGGGTGACGCTCCGGAAGCGCGCGCGCAAACCGCGCGCGCCCACACATCCTTGACTGGCTCCCGGAGCAACTGGAAGCTCCCCCGCCGGTAAGTTTTTTGTATTTGGAAACCCTACTTTTGCCCATGCATGTAGATGGGCACGAGCACAGGCTGGTAGGATTGCCAAGTCTTTGAGAGATGCTGGTGGTGGGGGAGTGTGGGGACATTCTGGGAGCCAGAAATGCTGTCGGGGGTGACACTCTGGTTTTTAGGCAAGACTCTATGGTAACATTGCCTTCAAACCATAGAGTTTTGCTCAAACACCAGAGGGTCTCCACCTGCATGCCCACGTCACTTCTGGGTGACGTAGGCACGTTGCTTGACGTTGCTATTTTTTTGGGGGGGGATTTCTTCCCACTAGCCAGCTGGCAAGAGCTTGCAAAACCAGGCAGTCCCCTGCCCCCAACTGGGGAATGGCAACCCTACAGGTTGTGCAGTAGGATCTTAGGAGGAGTAAGACATCTGTGTGCATTTCTCCGTTGGACTGTTTTGAAGTGGGGGGAGATCTGGAGGGGAGGAACATATGAGATTCACATATACCTTCAGTGCCTCTTTACAATGGTTGGTCATGTAGCTGTGTACACTTGTAGGCAGACAATGGTCAGAAGAGTGGCACTTTTGAGCCCTGTCAGAATAGGCTCTGTGCCCACAGTGCAAGTGGATCATTTCCTATGAATGTATTCATAAGTGGAGGTATAGTAGTCGTGGCCATGCAGGAAGAATAATTTGCTTATTTACACAATATATATGCTACCTTTCTGCCCTCACAAGGGCCGCCATTGCAGCTAACAAATCACATTTTAAAACTGTTAAAATCAGCTCCCCCAATTAACATACATCAACAGATTCAAAATTCATACAAAGACACAAAAATGAACAATTAAAACATTGGGAAGGAAGGAGGAATCATGGAGGAAATGCCAAATGAAATTAAAAAAATCTTCATCAGCGGGTGGAAAAAGCCAGCAAAAGGGGACAGATGTGTCTTCCTGGGGAAAGCGTTCCAAAGTTTTGGTGCTATGACTGAGAAGGCACTCTCCTGGGTTTCCACCTGTCTAATTTTAGAAAGCGGGTGCACCAAAAACAGGCCTCCAAAGGTAATCATCATGGTTGGGGGTACATGATCCTTCGGGTATGTTGGTCCCAAACCATATAGGGCTTTGAAGGTCAACACCAGCACCTTGAATTGTGCCTGGAAGCAAATTGAGAGCCAGTGAAAATGGGCCAGGACTGGAGTGATATGGTTCCTATGACACACTCCAGTCAACATTGTGTCTGCAGTGTTTTGTACCAACCAAACACTTCTCAAGGGCAGCCCCACATAGAGCATATTTCAGTAATCTAATCTAAGATGTAGCCAGGGTATGCTCCACAGTGGCTAGATCTTTTCTGCCCAGGGAAGGCTGCAGCTGCCTAACCAGTCGAAGCTGGTGAAAGCCACTCCTGGCCACAGCTACCCCCTGCTTATCCACTAGTAAGCCTGGGTCCAGGAGCACCCCCAAACTATGAACCTGTTCCATCAAGGGGAGTGCAACCCCATCCAGAATGGGTGATACCTTAGATCCTGGGTCAGACCTTCTGCCCTCCAGTAGCACGTTTGTCTTATAAGGATCAACCTTCAGTTTATTAGCCTGCATCCACTCCCAAATTGCCTCAGGCACTGGTTCAGGGATTCTTCAGCCTCCCTAGGATCAGCAGCAGGTGTTATATTTATAATGTTTATAAGTAGAATACTGTTTATAAATTATAAAGCAGCCCCTGGAGACAATTTGTTTTCAAGTGGTGGTGTTTATGAAACCTTTGCAAAAACAACATTTCCAATGATTCTTTCATTTAAAATATTGGTGGGGAAATAGGTATGCTAATAAGCAGACTGTATATATATATATATTTTCTTAAGATGTGGTGGGACTTTTTTTGGGGTCTGCTGAAGCATTTAAAATGATAAAATCATAGTGGGGTTTTCAGCAAGAGAATAGAGGATGTATTTTGTGAGCCAACTTGGGTCTCTGTGGAGGAACTGTGTGGGATAGAAATATTTTAATTAATAAATGACTATGGTTACAAAATTATTTCTGTCTTTCACCACTGTAGAGGCAAGTATATGAACCACGTAAAATTTTACTAAGATTGCCGAATGTGGACTAACAGTAGTCCAGGTGAATTTCATTATTAACATTCCATGGTTTCTTATAAAACATTCCTTTCCTTATCCTTGAGAGGCTCTACCTACCTTCACCGCACTCTAGATATGTTATAATCCCTTAGTTTGTACTGTGAGTTCAAGCTTTGATCATTTGGTTCTCACAACAGCTACACTGAGGAATTAAAATTGTATGCATGGAGTATTTGTGTTTCCTTAGTGTGGCGTTCTTCAGTTAAACATGATCTAGTTGACAAAAAGTTCCAGTATTTTCTGTATGAGAAATGATATTGATTTCTTCATAAAGTTAAATTCACAGCTATAGGGTAAAAGTCCAGATCTCATAAATGGGTTAGCATTTAAATAGAGTCTGTAGAGTATCCATTTGTCTGCTACACTCCAGAGATACCAGCAAGGAAAACAAGGGCTTAGGAAGCAAACATCTGTAAGGGGGGTTTGAATTGTTCAATTCACTTAGTAATGTCATGTCATATATTTTGCAGACATTCAAGAGTGTATTCTGTTAAGTGGAGCTCCTAAACAGCCAGATGCATGACTTTGGCTGTGCTTTGTCCCTCTTACAGATTTCTTGGAAACAATTTCATACAGAATTTCCTCTGGCGATCCCTACGGGAGATTCTCCATTGACTCTCAATATGGCATTATCCGCACCAAAAAATTGCTTGACCATGAAACCCATTGCCACACAGTTCTTACAGTGCAATCACAGTTGGGGAGCTTCCCTGTCTACAGCAATGTTCAGGTCAACATAACTGTGATAGATGTCAATGACAACCCTCCGGTGTTTGTTACAGAATCTGATAATATACGTATATCACATAGCACAGTATCTGGCACAGCTCTGTACATTGCTCATGCAGAAGACAAAGACAGTGGGCTAAACGGAGTGATCCGATACACTATTGTGAGCAATCAATCAGGTATTTTTACCATTGATCCAGTTCTTGGAGTGCTGTATCTTGCCAAGACTCTGGATACCAGTAAGCAGAAAGAGTACACAATACGCATTGCAGCTGAAGATCATGGAAGTCCTCCGCTGAGTTCTTTGATGGTCCTGACTGTGATTGTCGATGAACAGAAGGCACACCCCATCTTGAGTTTTGAAAATTTGGTCTATCACGTGGATGTCAGAGAGACATGTTCCATAGGTGCCATAATTCTTCAAGTACAAGCCCGGACGTTAGATCCACAATATACCCCTGGGCTATTTGTGTATTCCTTAGAGCATAACAAAGATTCTGCTTCATTTAGAATTGACCCCAAAACAGGCAGCATTTACCTACGAAATCCCTTAGACTATGAGCTAACTCAGTCACACAGTTTTAGAGCCTGTGTTACTAGCCCAATGGATAAGTCAGGGCGAAATGCAAGTACATCAGTAATTGTTAACGTCCTTGACGAAAATGACAATTCTCCTGTGTTCATGCGTGATGTCTATTTTTTGGAAATTGAAGAAAGTTCATTGCCCCACGGTGTGGTTGGCACACTCACAGCAGTGGACAAGGACTCTGGGAGAAATGGGCAGCTCTCCTATTTCCTCTTATCTGATGGCAAATATTTCAAAATCAATTCCAACACAGGTAATATATTTTACAATCTTCCCCGTGTTGTTTATGAAATGTACAATCTCTTCCTAAAAGGAAGTGATTGAAATGTATTTCTTGTGAATAAATGTGTTGCGGTTCCAAATTTAGAACTGAAAGCAGTGAGGTAAACAGATGCACACAAAAAAAGAAACAGTCTGAGTGAATTTTCTTTATTAGTGGCTTTAACTGTCTTATTTAGTTAATTGTGTGATTCTCCTCTGCTAAGGTTGAGGTTTTAAATGCCATTAAAATAGAGGCAGTGTGATGTGAAGTTTGACTAGAGTGGTCTCCACCTGACAGACTGAATCTTAAATGCAGCTATTGCAGGTGAGGATTGAGGTAAACAGGAAATAGCAACCTTTGTTAACTGTCTTGGATGGAATAAGGATGTTCAGTAAAGGTTTTATTCTTTCCCCAGCCTTAGGAATTGCACAGTATAAATGTGAACTTCTTCTGGAAATTCCAGTTCTTTAGCTAGCTTTTGTCAGAAACTAGGCTCTGAGACAACATAGTCCCCTCTTTAAAATGTCTTAGCCTGCTTATACTCAAAGCCAGGCTCTGAGAGTCCCTCCAGTCTTCACTCTGAAGGCATAGATTGCATCTGATGAGAGCTGACAGTTTGACAGATTTTCCTCTCCACTTCCACATGGAAGGCTCCTTTACCCTTCCATGGGTCATGATTGGCTGTTAGCAGACAGAAATAAAGGGGATTGGTGATTGAGAGAAAGGTGCAGGACCTTTGCCCATCTATCACATCCTCATACAGTGAATTGACAAGATATATAAAAGATTTATAAATAATCCTACAGCACCCGGTATTCCCAGGCGGTCTCCAGTAGATCCACAGTAGATCACATAACCTATAGCTACAATTAAATGGGAATTAATTTCAAACAAAATGCAGTCTAAAGGGATTGTTTTTGATACTGCTGGTCTTAACTCTGTATAATAAGATATGTAGTTACAAACAACCAGCAAAGACATTTAAAATTAGTACCAGTGGAAACCCTCAAAACTCCTGCAAAAGTGCAAAGTCAGGTGACAAAAAGTAGCCCTGTCTTTTCTTACATAAGTTATTACATGTATAAAACCCATCTGAGCAATTTAGGACTGATGCTAATCAGACCCTTTGATTGTATTATCAGTTAATACCTTCCATGTCAACCACACCTCTTTGAATCCATTCACTGAACTTCTTTAGATTACTTTGCAATCTCCGTTCCTTATACTTTCAGGTACCTGGTTATGATTCTTCTTGGTCCTTTCGCCTCTTTTTCCAGTCTGTTGTCATGTTCTTCTACTGTTGACTGGTAGCCTTCAGTTTTTGCTCTGGCGTTGTCTATCATTAGTTCTTGCTGTAAAATTTAGCCTGGCTATATTTTTATGTAATGTTTGCTCCCTTCAACTGTGCCATAGACACGGCTAAGACTCTTGCCTCTGTGGCCTTAGATATTAGTGGAGGACATCACTGCGAATATCAGTGCAATCCTATAACTCTTATCATGGCTTTAAGAGAATATAATTCTGGTTAGGGTTGCACTGTGAGATTTGGATCCTGCCTAGAATTTCCACAAGTGCAAGGGGGTAATTTTCACCAATTCTGCAGCTCAAAATACCCCCAAACTGAAATGCTGCTTCTGGATGACTGGACCCTCCAGGAATTGCTGGGAGGGGGGAATCATAGATCTTCCACAGGAGGAGGGAAACAGTGAAAGTCTCCTGGTACTCCCAAAAATTCTATGTGGGTTCCTATGCATAACAATTTTGTACTACAATTGTAAATAGAACATCCATTTGAGGAGGTGAACACTGTGAAATCAAATGCCTGATCCAAGATAAACAAAGCCAGCTATTTTAACAAGGTAAAATAAAATGCTTGAAATTCAAGCAAAAAGGAATGTGGAATGGAAATCAAGCACAAGTGATGAAGACAGCTGGCCAAGAGAGCCATTGCATTTTACAGATGTGGAACCTGAGACTATATCCTGCACAAAAGCTGTAGTATTCACCATCTGGAGAATGAGTAAGGAAAAATGGCCACTAAAGATGGGTCTGGGGAGATAATGAAGAGATCAAAGCAATTTACTACAGTTCCATTGCAATAGGGGTTTTTTTAGAAAAGAGATACCCACAAAATTGGGATGAAGTCCAGATGCTCAAGCAAGTGATTGCAACTCTATGGAATATCCTTTGTCTTATAGAAATGGGGGGGAAATGCTTGCAAGTCTCCAAAGAGGCTCTGATCTGAGAGGTCCCTAGTTTGTGATAAGTCAATCAGTTGCCAAAAGGTAAAATAATGTTCACTCTTTTCTTCCATTGGCAGTAAAAAGAGAGCATTTGGGCTTCTTTAGAATGGCCATCTGCCTTTAAAGTTAGGGTAGGTTTTTTGGTATGTGAAATAAAGTTGCTTGGAGTACAGCGAGATTATTATGACCTTGGAGATGCAAAGTCAGTGCTGAGTTCTTGCAAGTATCTATGCGGTACACATAGCAAATGACAGAAGTAGCTAATGGAGTGTGATCTGTGCAGCTGATAAAAGTGTGTTGTATACAGCCCATAGTGCTACTTCCTCTTGCTTGTTCTGCAGGTGAAATTATAAACTGGGTTGCATTAGACTACGAGCAACAAACCCACCACCAACTGGTTGTACTCGTGACCGACCACGGTGCTCCTCCACTTAATGCCACAGTAACGGCCTATATTTCAGTTACTGACCTGAATGATAACCATCCCTGCTTCCCTCAGTTTTCTGCTGGAACAGAGTTCAGCATCAAGGTTTGTAGTTATTACTTTAGACCATTTCTGTTTCTGGCTTTAAACAGCACCTCTGTTCCATATGTGAATTTTGTTAATGTGGAATAGCATGGCAGAGAGAATATTTCAGCGGGGTGTACAATTCATACAGTGTGGCTATTATGTTCACATTACAGCCAAAGACCTGTCTCCTCCTACATCATCCTCCAATAACTATTAATTTGTTTTGAGCACCATCTTGTGGTGACATGTTTGAACTGGGAGTGAAATCTGGCTAGAATTTGACATATAATTAAGGAAGTTTCACAGGGTAGCCATGTTTCATCTGCAGTAAAATGGTTAGAGTTGAGCTCAGTAGCACCCTTTAGACCAGCAAGAATCTAACAATGAGAGTTTTGACTCTAGAAAGCTTATACCCTGAAACTCTTGTTGGTCTCTAAGGTGCTACTGAACTCTCAAATGGGATAATTAAGGAAATATGTGATCAGCTAAGTGAGAATAAATCTGTAAGAACAGTACTCTTTTAGTTGTCCTGTGATTGGCAATCATAGCCATGTTACCAAACAAATATTCCCCCCTCCCTCTTTTTGCTTTTTAATATCCAGCCTTATGAATAAAGCTGGCCCAGTGTGTTGTTTTATGTTCATTGGCTTTAATAAAAAGTATTGTGTAGCTTCTGTTTTTGGATTTCACCATGGGCCAGTGTGGCTTCTTACATTTTTTTATCGTTCTAAGGTGAGCGCTATAGCATTAAACCACTCACTGCTATAGTGGTTTAGCGCTATAGCATTCACTTGCGAACGTAAAAAAAAAAGTCAGAGGAAGATTGCACTGTAAAAAAGGGCAGGGGAAAACGTGTCACTGTTTGGAATGACCATAGCACTTCAGAGACAGCTCATTAACAGAAGGAAATTCGCCATATGAAACCCCCATCCCTGTATCGCTTTAGTCGAAATCAGGCCAACAACGAATAACATACAGTTTAGAATGGCAATGTGAAAAGAGAATCTGTACATTTTTAAGTGTTTTTAGAAAGTGGGTGGGGCCACTTAGGGCTCTTGCCCAGCAGGGCTTCTGATTGGCCACTGGAGATCTGACTGGCTGGGCAGATGAATGGTTTCAGCCCCTGCTGCCACCACATGTCGGTTTTATTCTCTTTTGCTCCTCTTTCCCAGTGTATTTTAAAAATTACCATTCTTTCCCCCTGTACTTCGGCTTCCTCTGTGTGTGTGGCTCTGCCTCTTACAGCAGCCATTTTGTGGCTGGCTCTACCTCCTGTGGCAGCCATTTTATGTTTGTGCCCACCACCCAGTTTCAGAATTCCAAAGGTGCCCACAGGGACCAAAAGTTTGGGGACCCCTGCTTTAAGAAAGAACATTATCTTTAAGTTGTACATTGATTGTAGTCTATTAAAATGAATCTTTTTCGGAGATCCTATTTTGTACAAACTTAGCCGGTTTGGTGTAGTGGTTGGAAGCATGGACTCTAATCTGGGAGAACCAGGTTTGATTCCCCATTCCTCCACATGCAGCCAGCTGGGTGACCTTGGGTCAGTCACAGTTCTCTCAGAGCTGTTATCTCATGAGCAGTTCTTGAAAGAGCTCTCTCAGCCCCACCTACCTCACAGGGTTTCTGTTGTGGGGAGGGGAAGGAAAAGGAGATTGTAAGCCACTCTGAGACTCCTCTGGGTAGTGAAGGGTGGGGTATAAATCCAATGTTGCGTGAAAGGCTAGTAGAAAAGAGAAAGAGTTTAGTAGCACCTTAAAGACTAACAAAATTTGTGGCAGGGGATGAGCTGTCATGAGTCACAGCTCACTTCTTCAGTATGCTTTCTGCAGCTACAGACAGGCTATCATGGTTACACATTTTGATCTATCGCTATAGAAGACCAGGTTTGAGAAGTGGCCAGAAGAGGCTATGGCACAGAGAAGCTGTAGAAAGAAAGCTGCTATGTATCTGTGGTTGAGGTCCTTTAGCAGACCACTTCACCCCAAATAGCATTTAGGTTTCAGCTGCTTCCTTTCTATTATGAATTTAATTTTGAAGGCTTTGCCATTTGGAAAGCTCAGTTGTAAACAAACTGTTTGCCATTAGGTACTGGAAGGGCAACCAGCAGGAACACTAGTTGCCACTCTACATGCCAAGGATCTTGATTCTGGAAACAATGGCATGGTGTCATATTCATTGTCATCAGGTAAGGATTCCTAATTTGTCAAGTGCAAATAGAGTAATGAAGTGCAATGCATGGGATAAAGGGGGCAGTAAACCTCTCATTGTTTGTACTTATGCTTGGTAAGCATGGATACAGCTTTGGCTTCTATTCCAAACCCTTCCATTCCCATTTAAGACTGGTTCACAGATGTGAAGGGAGCCTTGCAACTTTCCATTACATGTGATGTGCTGCCCATTTATGGTGAAGTAGAATCCATGCCTTGAATTCAAAGTATAGGGGAGGGGGGCGTCATAAAATGTCCAGTTTTCCAACTTTTCCTTTAATGTCAGTGGCTTGAACCATGTGCCTATCATGTACAGCTCTATATATCCTTGCCTTTTGAAGGTCACTCGTGTATCCCTGGACACTTGCTCTTAAGGGTTTCATCCCATTCCCCCCCCACACACACACAGAGTATTCAAGGGAATATAGCACTTCAGCCAAGAGATAAATGGTGTTGATGATGGTGATACTAAAGTATGTTAGGTGCAGCTCAGGATTTTGTTAATTGTAGGTAAATGTTTTTGATATCCAAGTGGAAAAATGATCTTGCCTTTCCCATGACTAGCTTGAAATCTTTGTCTAGCTATTGCTCTGAATCTGCGACATGGATTAAAAGATAATCCGAGCAAACAATGGAGCTTGTGTTCTATAGATCCTGTTTCATCCTTCGTTTGATGGAATGTTTGCCTGATTGTGTTCTGCAGCAAAGTTATGTTTATCTTTACTCTTGCTATGGGAAAAATATAGTAAAAGTAGAATGTGAATGGGACATTTGAAGGCCTGGTTTTAGTTTATGTGAACCTCTTTTCCAAACATTGTAGTTCCAGTGTATGTCTCGTCTTGCAGATGGAGCTTGTGTTCTATAGATCCTGTTTCATCCTTCGTTTGATGGAATGTTTGCCTGATTGTGTTCTGCAGCAAAGTTATGTTTATCTTTACTCTTGCTATGGGAAAAATATAGTAAAAGTAGAATGTGAATGGGACATTTGAAGGCCTGGTTTTAGTTTATGTGAACCTCTTTTCCAAACATTGTAGTTCCAGTATATGTCTCGTCTTGCAGCTGAAGTGATGCAATCATACACCATATACATTTTATTCAGGAGAGTAGAGCACAAAACAAAAGAAGCAAACTTTGTTAAAAATATCATCCTATGGCACCATAAAGACTAGCACATTTACTGCGATATGATGCTGGCACAGTTTGTGCCAGGATAAGCTGTTTAGGAAGCAATCCTAAACAGGTGGTCTACTCAGAAGTTAGTCCCATGTCACTCAGTGAGCTTACTCCCAGTAAAATGCCCATAGGATTTCAGCATCAGTCTTTGAAAACAGGATTTATTTCTTTATTTGCTGCATCAGACACTTGCAGCTGCTTTACTGGAATTCATTTTTGGAGGACTGTGTAGAGGATTTGCGTCTGAATGCCATAACAGTATTTTGTATGCACTGCATTATTGGAGAAAGTTGTCATTATTGGAGAAAGCTGTCATTCATAGCATATTAAATATCTAGTAATTGGAATTTTTAATTGAAAATTGACTAGGTTGTGCCCGGATAGGCTAAATTTTACATTTTTCATTTGCTGTTATCTTTTACATGGGAAAAGTTCAAATCATGTTCCACCATCAGTTTATACTTGCCATAATTATTTGTTAGTGGAAGAACTCACACTGAACTATCACATCACTAAATTACTGTTTTCCTTGGGCTGGGGGAGTGAATAGAAATTATTTCACACGAGGAAAGCAAGAATTTCAAACTCTATGAATTCCAGGAAGACTATAGTAGTGAGTCTTAATTGTGAGAAACTGGATATATAAACCCTGTTTTCTGGGCTTCCCTCTTAACTAGTAAACCCTGGAAGTAGGTGATGGCCTTTGTTCAGTACAAGGCTTGTGGATATGCTATAAAATAACACCACTGTTCAGAGACTGCAGCTGGTAGAGAACATCACAGCTTGCCTCCTAAGGAGTATTATTTGTCAAAAATGTTAGATGCGAGGCGTGGTGACATCACCCAGAAGTTACATCATTGCATCACCAATGTCGGGGGGACAAAACTATGTTTGGACAAAACTATAGTTTTTTGCCTTCAAAATCATAGTGTTTGCCCAAAAACTAGACCATCACCCCTCCAACATCGGCAACGAGATGGTGTCACTTCTGGGTGATGCCATTGTTCTGGGGACATCACACGGCGATGTTTCTGTTTGGGGGTTGGGTTTCCCCCACTGGCCAGCTGGCCAGCGGATCAGAGCCCCCAAAAGCGGGGGAACCCTCACTGGGACCTGGAGGCTGGGAACCCTATCCCCAGCCCTAAGGTGTTTTCCACTAGAAGAAGGAAAGGTTGCTGATATGTGGCCATTTAAGGTCAGATTGCTCAAAATTGTAATGAACTCCACTTTCTGAGTTGGGAGACTCCTTTGGAAGAATTATTTTGTCTTGGTGATGCTAAGTTGCATTCCCTGAATAAGGTCATTCTATCTTTTCCTCCTCAGAAACATATAGTTTCATCATTCACATACATCCTCTTGTTAACAGCTTGGAAAATGTTGAGAGCCACAGTTGCATAATGGTTAGAGTGCTGGACTAGGAAATAGGAGGTTCCAGGTTCAAATCCCTACTCAGTCTTGATGTTCACTAAGTAGTCTTGGGCAAGTCATTGTCTTCTAGCTTAGGTTATCTCACAGAGTAGTAGTGAGGATGGATTGTGGAAGGGAGAGCAATATTATCCTGAGCTCCTTGAGAAAAGGTTAGGATAAAAATTAAATTGAGGTGAATGCGTCAACCCATGAGGGTGGAAAGTCACTCGTTCTACTTGGTTGTGGTCTAAGAAAATGCAGTTGTTGGAGTAGGGCTCAGGCTAGATGCAGCTCTTGATTTGTTTGTTTACGTCTAAGAACCCCCTCCCCACCAAACTTTATATATGTACATCTAATCTCTCTCACACAAATGCACATGGCTACGCACTAGGCTGCTTTTGACAGCCATTTGCACAGTGACAGGTTCTAAGGTACCCCATTTGGATGCTGAAATTAAATATTCATATGGAATTGTATGCAGAATCTGGCTGGATGATGAGGCGAACAAGCTTTCCTACAGGGAAATGTAGGGAAGTTTGAACTTAGAAGTAGATGCATATCCATAAGTCATAGACAAGTGGCTTCCGGTGCCGGTGACAGGTTCTAAGATTACACCATTTGGATGCTGAAATTAAATATTCATATGGAATTGTATGCAGAATCTGGCTGGATGATGAGGCGAACACGCTTTCTTGCAGGGAAATATAGGGAAGTTTGAACTTAGAAATAGATGCATATCCATGCGTCATAGACAAGTGGCTTCCCATGCCATTGCAAGTTCTGTAATCTTATTTGGCAAGTCAGTCAGCCCAGTCCTAAAAAATCAGTTTTTGCTGCAGTGGTGCATCCTGTCTTATAACTCTGATTCTTAGCTCTGAGCTTTGGCTGACAGGGAAGGGCCATCTTACTCTATGGAGTTTGGCAGCCAATTCACTTACATCCCTGTCCCTTATTGTTACGTCTGGAAAACAAACAGTTTCTTCCTAAGTAGAATTACACCCTTCTTCTTAGGCATGGCACTGAAGTGGTTACTTCAGCACCTGTAGCTCCATAGGTTCCAAACCCCCAAATGAGTGCCACATAAAGAGGATGGAATGGGCCCCTTGTCTTTGCCTCTGTTCCGTGTACTTGCAAAGGCAAGCATTAGCACAGCTGTTTGCAGGCTGAGAATCAGTTTTGCTTTTGCTCCAGAATTCAGACCCTGCTAGGACTGCCAGCTTCCAGGTGGTGGATGGGGATCTCCTGGGATTACAACTGATCTCCAGACAACAGAGATCAGTTCTCCTGGAGAAAATGGTCCCTTGTGAAGGTGGACCATGTGGGATTATATCCCATTGAAGTTCCTCCCCTCCCCAAATCCCGCCTTCCTCAGGCTCCACCCCCAGCATCTCCTGGTGTTTCTCAACCCAGAGATGGCAGCTCAAGACCCTTCTGACCAGCTCTGTGAGCTGTTTTCTGTTGATAAGAGACGGAAGTATATGACAAGGCTGTTTGGATGAACTTATTGCTGGCAATGACTTTCGGGACCAAGCTATGTGCTAGAAGATTTGTGTTTGATTTCTCTGCTTTACAAAAAAAGAAAAAATGCAGCCACAAGGGGAGGGAATTACCAATTTGATTGGGAAAGACCTTGGTCATTGTACCTCCCCAGCCTTTCTCCTTGTGCTGTTTTCTCAACTGAAACACTCCTCTATCCTCCACTGCCATTTCCTCTGTGGGACACTGAGAGAGGGAGAATTGCCTTCTGATTCCCTTTCTATTAGGGATAGAGGGGAAGGGGAAATTTAGAGGAAAACAGCAGAGAGGAAAAAGTTGAACAACACTTTGTCGCTTTGACAATTAATTATTAACCCTCTCCCCCCCACACACTCCAGCCACATTTAGTGTAAGAAGAGAAATAGATTCAGGTGGGTAGCCGTGTTGGTCTGAAGCAGTAAAACAAAGTTTGAGTTGAGTGACACCTTTAAGACCAACAAAGGTTTATTCAAGATATGAGCTTTCGTGTGCAAGCACAGTTCTTCAGATATCTGCACACAAAAGCTTATACCTTGAATTTTGTTGGTCTTAAAGATGCCACTAGATTCAAAGAGAAATAAAGAAGGGGGAAGGAGTCAGCATGGCTCTCCTGTTGAAAAGTTCCCCATTCAGATATGGAGGCTTTGTTTTCTGGCTCTTATTACTCAGTGTTCAGAGCTGATCTTCAGAAAAAATTGTTGCTTGGCACAATACAGAATAGTTTTACATGTTAGATGACATCAGTAGCCTAAACACCACATTTAAGAAAGTTATATATAATAGTGCATAAAACAATCATTCCATTAACAATATTTCAGTTGGATTATTGCTTTTGCTCCCTGGTTTACCATTTCCCACATGGAATAATTTTAAAGCAAAGTCAGGAAAAGCCATCTTTATGTGGGTGATGTGCTGAGTTTCACTCAACGTTTTATATTCTTGCTTCACAGCACATAATGCACAAATGGGTATTTATTTCTGTAGCTTAAAACAATTGGTGTACAGGTTAAGGGAAGTGATTTTTTTCATAGTGTTTTGTGGATTTCATTTCCCCCCCTTTTGGATATTTAGAACAGATTTGTGATGCTTAAAGGGAAATGGCTAGAATAAAACATAACAAAGCAGGGAAATCCTAAGAGCAACTTGACTCTGGCTTTTCTGTACAACAAGCTCCAGTGAAATGGATGCATCTCGGATGGGAATGGAAAATGAATAGCAACCAAATCCAATGGTAGAGAGGGTTCAAAGTAAGAAAAAGAGCAATAAGAGTAAAATGTGGTTTGGATTCTATTACTGTTAGATGGATCTGTAACTGGTTGACTGATCACACCCAAAGAGTGCCTCTTAATGGTTCCTCATCCTCTTGGAAAGGAGTGAAAAGTGGAGTGTCTCAGGGGTCTGTCCTGGGACCTGTTTTGTTCAACATCTTTATAAATGATTTGGATGAAGGAATAGAGGAAATGCTTATTAAATTTGCAGATGATAACTAAATTAGGAAGGGTAGCAAATACAATAGAAACAGAGTCAGGACACAGGATGATTTTGACAGGCTGGAAAACTGGACTAAAACAAATACAATGAATTTTAACGAGGATAATGTAAAGTTCTGCATTTAGGTAGGAAAAATCAAATGCGTAATTATAGGATGGGGAGACTTGTCTTGGCAGTAGTACGTGTGCTAAGGATCTAGGGGTCCTAGTAGACCATACACTGAACATGAGTCAGCAGTGTGATGTGGTAGCTAAAAAGGCAAATGCCATTTTGGATTTCATTAACAGTAGGATAGTGTCCAGATCATGTGAAGGAATTATATTGCTTTACTCTGCTCTGGTTAGACCGCACCTAGAGTATTGTGTTCAGTTTTCGGCGCCACAATTTAAGAAGGATATATATGAGCTGGTATGTGTCCAGAGGAGGGCAACGAAGATGGTGAGGGCTCTGGAGACCAAGTCCTTTGAGGAAAGGCTGAAGGAGCTGGATGTGTTTAGCCTGGGGAGGAGATGACTGAGAAGAACCATCTTCAAGTACTTGAAATGCTGTCATATAGAGCATGGTGTGGAGTTGTTTTCTGTTGCCCCAGAATGTTGGACCAAAATCTATGGGTTGAACTTAAATCAAAAGAGTTTTTGGCTAAACATTAGGAAGAACTTTTTGACAGAATGGTTCTTCAGTGGAAAAGGCTTCCTCAGGAGGTGGTGGGCTCTCTTTTGAAGGTTTTCAAACAGAGGCTAGATGGCCATCTAACAGCAATGCTGATTCTGTGAACTTAGGCAGATCATGAGAGGGAGGGCAGGAAGGGTTGCATCAGTGCTTAGTTCTCGTAGCCCTTTCTTGCATGCCCAGGGAAATGCTGATTGCCACTTTGGGGTCAGGAAGAAATTTTCTCCAGGCCAATTTGGCCAGGGATCTTGGAGTGTATTTTTGTGAATTTCCTGCATTGTGCAGGGGGTTGGACTAGATGACCCTGGAGCTCCCTTCCAGCTCTATGATTCTATGATTCATACTGAATCTGGATCCATCTGAGAGGCATGCACATGCAATGGGCTTGCAGGGTAGGGTGTAGCAGCAATTATAACTTGCTTGCTTACAGGAACTCCTCTTTTACTTTTTTTTTTATAAATATATTTATTGGTTTTTCCATTTCACTATAATAACTTAACAATCTCCAAAAAAAACCAATGTTAAACAACACATAAAGACTCAAACATCTGATTATAGTTTTAAGTTATACATTTCTGTTACGCTTCCATCTTAGACTTAACTTAACATGACTAGCCTAGTCCCTATTCGTTCCTATTTTCTTTATTCTTAGCCAGTTATATATTACTCCCCATTTTTCCCAGTATTTTCCTTCCGGTCTATATTGTAGTTCCATATTTACTCTGTCCATTTCTGCTATTTCTAATATCTTATATTTTACTTCCTTTATAGAGGGCAGCATGTTCAATTTCCACCTTTTTGCAATCAATATTCTTGCCGCGGTTAATATGTATATTATTATCTGTTTATACTTTTTTATTGAATCTGGAATCATATTTAAAAGGTATGTCTCTGGTAATAATGGTAATTTAATTTTTAGAATTTTTGTTAATATTCCCTGTAGTTTTTTCCAGAACTTCTGAACCTTGTTACATTTCCACCAAATATGCATGAATGTCCCTACATTCCTCCTGCATCTCCAACATTCGTTAGTAGCTCCCGGGAAGCATCTAGCTATTTTATTCGGTGTCCAATGCCACCTGTAATACATTTTGTAAGAAGTGGGGCTTTTTTAATAGGTGCAGGGGTTGCGGTACTAAACTTGCTTCTCCTGACTGTCATACCCTTTGCATATTTTGTCTCAGAGAGTCTCAGCGACACAAATTTTGTCGCTACTGTGCTCGCTTTTCAAACCAGACCCGGAAAAACCAAGCCGCCTGCCTTAAAGTGGCCCTGTTAGAATCGACTCTACATTCTTCCTCAGCATTGGACGCTGAGAAACCATCAACCTCAACAGCTCCGGCATCGAGGCCTGCCTCCGATATTGGCCAACCGACACCGAAGCCTCCAGCATCGAAGGCACAATCCTCTGCTTCCACGCCAGTAAAAAAAAAGTCCAGGCCAAGTAAGGAGCAAAAGTCCGCAAAGAAGGGCTCTTCCAAACCCCTTAAGGCGGCAAAGAAGGGGAAAGTAGCGGTGGCTGCACTGGGTGATGCCCCTAAAGTGCCTCCCTCTCCAACGACTGTATCGTTACCGGAGGCCCAAGTCCCTCCACCGATACCGACCATCCATGTCTTGGACTCCCCTGGCCACCAAATGGAGCATCCTTACTCATAGATTTGTCTGGTTCTTCCGTTACAAAAATTAGATCGTCTGCAAATGCTTGAAGTTTGTAAGTTTCCCCCTTTACTTTTAGTCCCTTTATGAGTTCATTTTCTCTGATCCTGTCTGTTAAGGCTTCTAATGTGAAAACAAATAGTAAGGGCGACAATGGGCAGCCCTGCCTAGTGCCTTTCTCTATAGGAATATTATTTGTGTGGAACTCCTCTTTTACGTCATGTATGAGCAGTTAACAACTAAGGCCAAGGCAAACAAACTGGAACCCATGAGACTGACTGAGGATCATCAGTAGCAGTTTACTTTATAACCCTAGTTAAATCATTGCTCCTTGGACTGAAAAATCAGTGTTAACCTTGGTGGAGTTCTAAGGCATAGAAGATGACCCCATATAGACAGTCAGACAGCTGTGGGGTAGCTTTGTACATTCTGCTGTGACAGCTGAGAGAGAGCACAACAAGCAGAAGAGGACTAGGGCTTGGGTGGAAAACCACCCATGAACATTTAACCATATATCATTTATATACCACTTTCCTTAATGTGCAGCTCTATTAATGGTAACATATCTTTTCTAGGAGAAAGTTTAGGTCACTTTCAGATTGACGGCAGTAGTGGTGAGTTAAGAACTACTGAAGCTCTTTTATATAATTGGAGGTCGACCTACAGAATGGTAATCACTGCAGCTGATCAGGGAATCCCTTCACTTCAAGGACAAATGGACATCAATGTTGAGGTATTGGCTTAAGGAAGTATTCCCTTTGGGCTACAGCAAGCAAGAGGCAGAACCAAGAAACCTGGAGGCCCTCCCTCTAGCTTAAATGTTTCTCTCCAGAGTGGGTTGTGAAAACAGGAAATGTATTTTCGGACCTTAAATATGTGCGAAATTAACTGTGGCCTGAATAGTTATAATTTGTGCTCCATTATGAGGAACTGATCAGCTAGAGGAGAAAAGCTATAAACCTTTTAAATGTAGAGGAGAATGCAACATGAAAATTCAGCTGAGATGCAAAAGAGGTTAACTGTCGTTACTATCCATATTCCGTTGCTTCTTTATCTGCTGGTGCTGACCTGATTAGAGATTTTTTAAAGGAGAGACACTAAATTGGGAATTCAAGACCCACCAAACTGCTTCACAGAATGCACCCACTTTATGTCACAGTTGTTGGTTTGCAACCTGATGGGCAAACCACACAGGTGTGCAAGTGTTTAATATATGCACTTTTGTAACTAGTTTATTTTTGCCACATTCCAAGCCATAAATTTTGGTCACTTATAATTTAATGACCTCTGTTACCTGGAGACTTACTCATTTCTCAGTGGTCCATTTGTAAAAAGAGCATTCACACTTGGAAATGGCAGCAGATCTCTTGACCTGTAGTTTACTACCAGAGAGTACTAAATTCTACCCTTGGATGAAATAACATGTATGGCTTGACATATATCTGAACAACATAGCATCTGTTAAAGAATTTTGAACCTTTTACAGTTTGCCATTTGGGTTTCCTTGTAAATTGGTGCATCCGTTTTTAGACTGCTGTTTCCCCATTTATGGGCTGCCCTTTGTTGAAGACTGATTACTGCTAAATAAATTGATAACTCAGGCATTGAAATGATAGGTAAATTCTGCCCCAGCTCAGTTAGGAATTGAATTAAGCTAATCTATATCTTTTTTTAAAAAGGAAATTAGTCTGTTTGTTTTTCCCAAGCCCAGTTCTGATATCCAGTTAATCTTGGCCCCGGTCACACGGGAGAGTTTTGCCCAGGAGAGGGACGGATCAGGGGTGCAGCAAACGGGCGTGAGCACACCACAACATCTGGGAATCTGCTCGCACCCGTCCCCGATCCGTCCCTTCAGGCCAATAACAGCTGTAAAAAAGAACCACCTGGGACGCCGCATCAAGCACGGCCGTAGCAATCCCAGCTCCCGGCCGAACTGCGCATGCTCACACATGCGCAGTTTGGCTGCCTCACTTCCCGGTCAGTGGCTTCCCCCCGGCATCTGATCGTGCTGGGGAGGAAGTGCGCGGCGGCTCAGGGGATCTATGTGATCCTGCCACCGCGTGTCTCTTTTGGTGATCCCCCCCCCTGCTGTGGCAGGGGCCCTTGTTGTGCTTCTGATTACATCACTGGGAGTACTGCAAGAGTTCCCATAGCCAGGTTGGTAGGCATGTGAATGGGAAGGAGCAGTTTTTCTCTGACTTGGATTACAATCCAAGCTGAACTCTCAGTCATTAATGCTTGTCTCAGATTGGATTATAAACCAAAGTTTGTAATGTGAACCTGGTAATTATGAACTTCAGTTACATCATTTATGCATTGCCAGTAAGACAGTAATTTTAGTTAGTTTTAAATAATTTTCTAGTTTTCCCCTGTCTGGCTGGCTGCTGCAAGCATTTGAGGCTGTTAAAAAGATCCTTACTGCAGCAATTCCTGCTGTGAGTGAATAACCCTTCCACAGAATCGATTGGCAAATTAATCTGTTTATAGTATATCTTGTACTTACAGCTCAAGAGCTCTTTGGGTTACTAGGCCACTGCACATTTGTAATTAGAGAATGGACATAAACTAGAATCCTCTTGGGAATGTAAATGATTGTGATTTCTGTTCATTCCTTGAGGGATATTAGCATGCATAGAAGTATGTGTGTTCGGACTGTGAATAATTGATGTCCTTGTCTAAATATATATTTATTACCAAAAAATGCCAATCCAGTAGAATTAAAAAAAAAATTCTTTTGTTTCAGGTAATTCCACTTCCTAAAGGGAGTTCTGTTTCTTTCCAAAACATCAGACATTTTGTCATACCAGAAAATTTTAGGCCTGCACAGGTGCTGGGCTCTCTAAGAGTGCCTGGTCAACATCTGTCTACCAGTAAAAAGCAGCGCTACAGCATTTCAGAAGAAGACTCTGATGTTCCATTTGAAGTCGACAGCTCCTGTGGGGATCTTCTTCTTTCCAAAGAACTAGATTATGAAACAGCATCTCACTACTTCTTTAGGGTGATTGTAAATGATGATCAGAATAGTCGTCCACAAAGTAGTACCATTTTTGTCAGTATTGATGTTGAAGATCGAAATGACCACTCGCCTTCTTTCCAGAATGACTTTGTTGTGATTGGCATAGAGGAAAACGTGCCCGTTGGCACTTTGGTGCATACATTCAATGCAAAAGATGGAGACGGCAGTTTTATGAACAGCAACATACAGTATTCTGTACACAGGAATAACTTCAGTGAAAATCCATTTCTCATCCATCCTTTTTATGGTAGCTTAATCACAGCAGTTCCCCTCGACCAAGAGATGGTGCAGTCTGTTATCCTGACAGTTGTGGCAACCGATCAAGCTGTAAACTTGACTGACCGCCGACAAGGTTCACTGACTGCCAAAATAATTATTTTGGATGTCAATGACAACCACTCCTGCTGTGAGTGAATAACTCTTCCACAGAATCGATTGGCAAATTAATCTGTTTATAGTATATCTTGTACTTACAGCTCAAGAGCTCTTTGGGTTACTAGGCCGCTGCACATTTGTAATTAGAGAATGGACATAAACTAGAATCCTCTTGGGCATGTAAATGATTGTGATTTCTGTTCATTCCTTGAGGGATATTAGCATGCATAGAAGTATGTGTGTTCGGACTGTGAATAATTGATGTCCTTGTCTAAATATATATTTATTACCAAAAAATGCCAATCCAGTAGAATTAAAAAAAAAATTCTTTTGTTTCAGGTAATTCCACTTCCTAAAGGGAGTTCTGTTTCTTTCCAAAACATCAGACATTTTGTCATACCAGAAAATTTTAGGCCTGCACAGGTGCTGGGCTCTCTAAGAGTGCCTGGTCAACATCTGTCTACCAGTAAAAAGCAGCGCTACAGCATTTCAGAAGAAGACTCTGATGTTCCATTTGAAGTCGACAGCTCCTGTGGGGATCTTCTTCTTTCCAAAGAACTAGATTATGAAACAGCATCTCACTACTTCTTTAGGGTGATTGTAAATGATGATCAGAATAGTCGTCCACAAAGTAGTACCATTTTTGTCAGTATTGATGTTGAAGATCGAAATGACCACTCGCCTTCTTTCCAGAATGACTTTGTTGTGATTGGCATAGAGGAAAACGTGCCCGTTGGCACTTTGGTGCATACATTCAATGCAAAAGATGGAGACGGCAGTTTTATGAACAGCAACATACAGTATTCTGTACACAGGAATAACTTCAGTGAAAATCCATTTCTCATCCATCCTTTTTATGGTAGCTTAATCACAGCAGTTCCCCTCGACCAAGAGATGGTGCAGTCTGTTATCCTGACAGTTGTGGCAACCGATCAAGCTGTAAACTTGACTGACCGCCGACAAGGTTCACTGACTGCCAAAATAATTATTTTGGATGTCAATGACAACCACCCTACCTTTGTTTCATCACCTCTCTCCTACATTAGAGAGGATGTAGAGACAGGCTCCACAGTACACTGCATAGTTGCTCATGATCCAGACCAAGGAAGGAATGGACAAATTACATATTCTCTTCTCTCAAGTAATGAAGACCAGGTGTTTGCACTAGACAAATCTTCAGGTAAGATACAAAAGCCAAATTGGCTCCAATGAGATTTCAGTCAGAATTACCTTAATTTCATCTTTTAAGCAAGGCAATAATTGCACATACACCAAGAGTGCCAAATATTTTCTTCCCTAGACTATTCCTGTTTGGGGTAATTGCATGTATAACAGAAGCTCTTTCTGCTTGTGCACAGTCCAGCCTGCAGTGGGTGCAGCATGTGCCACAGAAAGAGAAGAAACTGCAAATTACATATGACTGTGTCGAAGCTCATAGGTGTCCACAGTCTCATACTCTGTGAACTCCTTGTTGTGGCAATCAAACCTTAACAAACAGTTCGGGTGAGGCCAATATATAAAGACTGGTCATAATTCATGTCAATCCATGGTTATGGAAAGTTAGCCGTGGCTTGATGGGATGTCCAAATTGACATATTCCTGGTTTGTGACCAGTCAGAAAATCAGAATTGGAAACTGTAGTCTGACTCATGTTTGTGCTAACAATGCCCGTCCATGCCATCTGAATTGACAAGTTACATTTACATTGGTCTCTCCACCTCCAGAAGCCACTACATCAAAAGAGAAGTGTGCTGAGTAGATAAGAAATTGTGATTCCCTAAGCATGCACTGTTTAGTGCTGTGATCTGCCTACAAGCAAATAATTCCTGTTGTTAGAGTTTGAGAATGGTTCGGGGCAGGGCTTTTTTTGTAGCAGGAACCCTTTGCATGTTAGGCCACACACCCCTAATGTAGCCAATCCTAATGAGTTCCTGCTGTTGGGTGTGGCCTATTATGCTAATGAGTTCCTGCTGTTGGGTGTGGCCTATTATGCTAATGAGTTCCTGCTGTTGGGTGTGGCCTATTATGCTAATGAGTTCCTGCTGTTGGGTGTGGCCTATTATGCTAATGAGTTCCTGCTGTTGGGTGTGGCCTATTATGCTAATGAGTTCCTGCTGTTGGGTGTGGCCTATTATGCTAATGAGTTCCTGCTGTTGGGTGTGGCCTATTATGCTAATGAGCTCCTGCTGGGTGTGGCCAACTCGGGAGCCAGTCGGAACTCCATTCCTTGCGTTCCTGCCCAAAAAGAGCCCTGGTTCGGGGTATAAGAATAAAGAAAGACAAAAATCAGTGAAACACATTTACCTCTGCAACAAAACAAATAGCAGCAGCGAGTATTTTAATGACAAGCATCCAGCTGAAAACCACATTAATTCTAATCTGCCTGCAAACCCAAGTATCACGTTCAATATTTGTGCCTCATCTCCAAGCTCAGGTATAAAGTGTGTGAAAAATCTCATGCATTCTCGGTTTGGCACACCACAGTTGTCTCTCCAGGTAATCTAGTGGTATTCTCAGAAAGTAACTACCAAATTAGAGTTCCCAAGGGCAGATCATAAAATAAAAAGAGTTTTCCCTGAGCATTTGGTATCTCAAATCAAATGTTTGGCTTCTAAACTACAGTTATCACAAACCATAGTTTGGCATTGCTTGTGATTAAAGCCATATTAACACATCGTAGTGACAGATGTTGCACTGGAATAAATCAATGTCCATGTGACCATTTTTCTTCTTTACAACAGGACTGCTAACAATCACCTTTGCTTTGGACCGTGAAAACCAAGAGTATTACAACGTGACCATTGTGGCCGTGGATGATGGCACTCCAGCACTGTCTGCAACTCAGATTCTGACAGTAATTGTTCTTGATGTAAATGATGAGCCACCAGTGTTTACAAAAGATCAATATCAAGCTTCCATCTATGAAAATGAAAATCCAGGAGAGCTTGTCATAAAAATAGAAGCTACAGATAAAGATTCAGGTAATCAGCTCTCTCTCTCACCCCATCCCTCCAAAAGACATTCCTGTCATATGGAAAATATGACACCCTTCTTGTCTCCTTCTCTTGATACAGTTAGAAGCTCCTAAGATTAATTTTTGATTCAAATTCTTCATCTAAATATTTTTTTACATAAGGAACTCCCGTCAGTGTTAAACAGCGGTTTGTTCACTCAGACGGTCTAAATTCATACAGAAGTGGCTTTGATTAAATTTGTGCATCTGTATCTACTACATCAGACTGGGGAAAAATTGAGGAAAGAGCTCTGAAGATACCCAGGTCTGTTCATGTGACATTAACGGACCACTGATCTTTGTACACAGCAACAGACGGTAGGTGCTGGTTATGTATAAGGCTTCCTGCACATTCATCAGTGGAACTGATGCCTGGATGTGGTTTGGTAAATATAAAAGGCAGGCTACCCTGACAGAGTCCTAAGCCACTTGATTTTAATGTTTCAAAAGCAGTTTGCCACCAAGGACACTTCACTAATAATTGCAGACCTGCATTAATCTCATTTGGCCAGAATGGGGCACTGTAATCCCAGGCATTTTTCCGTCAACAAAAGTAATGGTACAAGGCTTAGTTTGTACTTTAAATGTATTTTTCTAGTTGAAAAGCTAAGGTAAGAACAAAAGGAGAATGTTGTGAGCTCACAAAATAATATTTTTTACAATCTTAGGCAGTAGAAAAAAATTATATGGTTTTAGGGGAATTCAGTTCCAGAAGGGATTATACAACTAGGTAAACAATGGCAATGGTATTCCCATCGACTGAACAACAACAAAAACAATGGCAGCTACAGCATAATGGCTACTGGCCTTGTGAAGCTTGGGCAGCTAACCCTAGCTAAGCAGTACTGTCTCCACTAGTCCTTTTCCTCTCTGTAGCTCTGCTAGCCCACGTACAGGAGATTTTCTAATACTATATTTTCTCCTGCAGTGATGCTTTGGGGATAATTCCCACCGAAGAATATGCATAAAAACATATGTTGCAATTGTTGTCCATCTGGATTTCTATATATTTGGACTGTAACTTTATACATACTCATAGGCAGGGAAATAATATGCTAGTAATACGTGAAGTGGAGTAGCTGAGCTGTCCCCCAGTCTAACACGCTGCATGACTTTTATATTCATTTTTACTATCAGCAGTATGAACAGAGCTACTTAAAAGATAGACCAGAATACAAAATGATGTGCTGCATAGGTAGGGAGGCAATTCCCCCCTCCAAAAAAATCCAAGCCTCTCATGCCACCCAATAAATTATTCCCAAAATTTGAAACAACCAGGAATTGGTTTCTTCATCACAAGAAAGTGCATATTCAGGTTGAAACTACATGTGATGTTACCCGGGCAGCTTACATGTGCATATATCTTGGCTATAGGAGCATCCTATTTAACATGTCCAGAACTCATACTCATGTGCACCCAGGACACATTACTGGGAGCTTCTGCCAAGTTGTATGCCAGGGTCCTAGATTTGATCTAATGCCTCGTATGGGTGTACAGATTCTTAGAAATAAACAGACATGGGTTCAAAGTTGAAAGTTTGTTTAGAAAACTAATAGCAAAGGGAATTAGCAAAAACAATACAAAGTTAGAAAAACATACAAACATTAAATAAATGTTCTATAAATTCTGACATCTACTAAATCCTAACCTAAGCAAAGGTACTAAAATGGGTTGGCTAAGGAGGGAGTAAACCTATGAGCCTGTCGGCAGGTGAAGGCCAGTAAGGTTCATTGGAAGAAATGAAAAACCAGTGGTGGAGATGTAGAGCATGGTCTTCTGGTGTCCCCTGTATTGGAATGCAGGGCCTAGGGTTGCCATCCCCTCAATGAGGGCAGGGGTTTAACCCACTTTCGGGGGGCCCAGTCTGCCACTGCTCAGCTGGCCAGTGGGGGAGCCCCATCCCCGAGCAGCCCCATCCGCGCCGACATGCCTGGCGCGATGGCGTCACCTGGAGGTGATGTCATCACACAAGGCATGTTGCAGGGGGACACTCTAGCATCTGAGAAAAAACTATGGTAACCAGTTTTTTTCCAAATGCTAGAATGTCCCCCTGCAACATGCCCTGCGCAATCACCTCCGTGCTTTGCACATGCATCAGGATATCAAGGGCACCGGTCACACTCGGGGGAAAGGCACGGCTAAAGTGCGGCTTTTTTTAGCTGCATCAAAAGAGAAGCGCGGCGGTGGGATCAGACAGATCCCCCCAGCCACTGCGCAGTTCCTCCCCGGCATGATCAGATGCCGGGGGGAAGCCATGGACCGGAGAGCGAGGTGACCCCCGCTGCGCATGTGTGTGCATGCACAGTTTGGCAGGACCTCACATGCTGCAGGAGAGATGGGCACGCTGGCGATCCCACAGCCGCTACTGCTGTGGATTTTCTGGTAAGTAATAGTGTTTTGAAGGGGTTTTTTTTATCCACATCTTCGGCCGGAAGAGACGGATCGGGGATGGGTGCACACCGCTTCCCAGCTGTTGCGGTGGGATCGCGCCCACTTGATGCGCCCCCGATCCATCCCTCTTGCGGATCAAAGCCTCCCGTGTGAACGGGGCCAAGGACTGCTGGCTGGAGCCCAATGTTGGCTACCCTAGCAGGGCCGAAGCACAGTCATGCACAGATTTCCACTACGTACTCCCACAAGAAGGTTTGTAGCCACTTGCTAGAGCCCAACTTTGGTATGGGACCCTTGTTGGGTTTTGCTCCCTTAGAAAGAGTCTTAATTTCTAAGAGCTCTATTCTGACTTCCTAGTAGCATATGCCTGCATTTGGAATCCAGTTTGGTTAGAATTGAGGCTAAGGTAAGCATAGCTTCCATAATTTTTTGGCTTCAGCTGAACCATTCCCCTCATAGTTTTACCTTGTAAATTCTTAGGGATGGTTTTAGCCTTCCCGCAAAGCTTCTCTTAGCAATGGGCCTTAATCAGGCCAAAGCCCTTGTTAAACAAAAGGGTACTGGATATCAAACAGCAGGACGACATAAATAGAGCCCCCAACCTTTTGGTGCTGGAGAACACTAAATATGTGGTGGCTCAGGCTGCTTACCTTTCGCTGTTAGACATTCCATCCCATCAAAGGCTTTTTCTATGGCTAGATGGAATGTCCTTCCCCTGTGGTAGTAGAGGGGAGATACAGAGATGTGGTAGTAGAGGGGAGATACAGAAAGATTCCATTGTTAGAGAGGGTTTGCCTCTGTGGGGATGGGAAGATTGAGACAACTGAGCACATAGTGCTCTACTGCTCTGCAGGAAATTCAGGCAAAGTTGATTGTACCTTTGCTTAGTAGGTCTTCGGCCTGTTCTATTCTGATCACTGAAGTTATTAGGAAGTTTCTGTCAGGCACAAAGGCTCAGATCCCATTTTCTTATGCCAGATTTTTTCTGGCCGCTTGTAAAATTCACAAGGAAGCAGTTAAGGGATTGAATTCTAATAATTAGATGTGGTAATTTGTAATATTTGTTTTATTTTTAAATTTAAACTTTTAAAATTGTATACTGTTCATTTATATTTCTATGATCTTGAAGTAATGTCTTAACTGATTTTATGCTGGTCTTGAACTGTATTAACAATAAACTGAACTGAACTGAACCAGTATCAAAATGGGACCCAATGGCTAGAACAAAGTGCTGGGGCACTTGGGGCTATTAATATACCCCCGAAGTGTTTAAGAAAACGTGGGGAAATAAAATGCTCCTCAAAACAAACTGGATTGGAGGTTGGGGATTAAAAAATAAAAAGAAAGCATAGCCTTTCTGGGGGGTTATGTGGAGGGGTCCCAGTCAATGTTTCCTCTAAGCTCTGGAGTCTTGTGAGCAAAAATTCTACTTTGTGAGCTACTGGCATTAAAATTGTGAGTGAGCGATTTGGCTGCCTACTGTATACATTAGTTTGCTCTGGAGCCATCTTTCCTGAGCTAAGACAAAAATGTGTGAGCCAGAGGCTAAAAAACTGTGAGCTAGCTCACACTAGCTCAGCTTAGAGGGAACAGTGGTCCCAGTTACATTCAGGGGTGCTAAATCAAGGTCTTAACTCACTGTTTATAGTGAAAGGAAGTTGCATATAAATTTCCTTGTAGTGCTTTTCAGAAACCAACCATATTCAGGAGGCTGCAGACTTAGTGCAGCGACCTCAGCACAGGTTGGATGTGCTCCCTCACAGGGAGACCCATCAGGATTCAGAAGTCCTCCAGCAACTTATTTACAGCTGATGCTGCAATCCTAAAATCACTGAATAAGATAGGACTTATTTCTGAGTATGGCTGTTTGGATCCTGGCTGTCATTATATGAATAGTGGACCCCAGTCATTCACAGTTTAAATAAGGAATTATTACAGTGATACAGATAACTAGGACAGGGTATACAGCCTGCTTTCTCCCCTCAAGCTTTTTGAGTTTTTTGGTGGCAGAAGTCTGACTAAATTGAAATGTTGAATGCTTGAAAAGGACAGAAATATATAGTGTTATGCATGTTGTGGAGAAAGTGACTAAAGAGACTTTGTTGCCCCTTTCCCCAAATCCTAGAGTTTAGTGGCACCAAACAAAAATGATGAACCTTTAAAGTTAGGACAGACAAAATGAAGTGCTTCATGTAACACCTAATTAAACTTACTGCCACAGAGTGTTGTTAAGGCCCCTGGCCTAGTTTCCTTTAAAAAATTAGCCAGATTTATGGAGAATGGCTATTGATGGCCATTTTCTGCTGTAGCTAAATGAAACCCCCATGAGACAGTATTCCTCTGGATGCCAGGGGCTGGGGAAAAGCCAGAGGAAGAGGCCTTGGCCCCTGTGCCCCTCCTGGAGCATCTGGTGGCCACTGTGCAATATGAGATGCTGGGATGCATTGATCAGGTCCAGCAGGCTCTTCTTGCATTCTTATATAATATGCAGTAACCTAAGATGTGAATTCACTGTTCTTTGTTCGTAATGTAGGATTAAATTCATTTTAGCTAATAGCATCAGTTATTTTGCTGTGTAGCGCATTATGAAAATGATGCCATGCTGTCCTCAAGAGAGCATTTGAGACCACAAGAAATATGGGAGCAATTTATTCTGATGCAATAAAGGATGAGAGTAGGAAATAAGATTCCCACAACATACAGAAGGCATACAGCTGTATAAAGAAACTAGCAGCTGCTAAATTTCCTAAGTGGCTTTTTCTCCTACAACTCTCAGGTGTGATAATGATCTCACACGATAACCAAGCAGTTTGGAATACAATATGAACTATGTAGCTAAGCTGTGGCTCCCTCTGCTCTAAGTAAAGGCCGTGGGGGGAGGGGACAGAAATAGTGTATGGGATCTCAATGAGAGAAGCAGACCTTCCTGAACAGTCAGAGCTTTGGATGAACAAAAGAGTTTTCAGTCAGTGATACCGCCTCACGGTGAGATTCATGTGTAACTAGGGCCCCGGTCACACGGGAGGTTTTGGCCCGGAAGAGGGACGGATTGGGGGCGCAGCAAACGGGCGCAATTTCACCGCAACATCTGGGAATCGGCGCACACCCGTCCCCGATCTGTCCCTTCAGGCCGGAAATGCGGTGCAAAAAAGAACCTGCAAAAGAGCAGGACTTACCTGAAACGCCGCAGCAAGTGCGGCCGTGGGATCGCCGGCGCGTCTGTCGTCACGAGCAATCAAGGCTCCTGGCCAAACTGCGCATGCGCACACATGTGCAGCCAGCTGCCTCGTTCTCCCTTCAGTGGCTTCCCCCCCCCGGCATCTGATTGTGCCGGGGAGCAACTGCGCGGCAGCTCAAGGGATCTATCTGATCCCGCCGCCGTGTGTCTCTTTTGGTGCGGCTTTTAAAAGCCACACTTTGGCCACATCAATTTCCCCCCGTGTGGCAGGGGCCTAGGCTGAGCGAAGGCTTGAGCAAAGGGGGTTGGAGAGTTCAACAAACACTGCTGGTGTGGGTCACCAGCATGAAAATGGGGCTGATTCTTTGTGGAAATAATTTCCACCCTAAATATTTTTAGGATGAAGTTTGTGTTTCCATTTTTAGCCTGTTGTTGCTTTATCTCTTGTAGACAATATCATTAAAAAGATTGGATGCAGTATGTTCAAAATGACTTGAGCAGCTACTTTTTAGTTCTTATATTAATGCCATCTCATTCTTTTATATCTAGACTTGAGTCCAGTAGCACTTTAGAGACGAATGAGTTTTTCAGGGTGTAAGCTTTGAAGAGCCAAAGCTCCCTTCGATATGGGTTGGAATGGAGATCTCGGAGTCCTTGTATCCCAGTCAGAAGGTGAGAGAAGTGTTGCAAGACGGAATTCAGAACTGCCCCCAAACATTTCCCCTCTGCTCCAGTCAAGCTGATTACAATGTGCATTGTACCTCTGCATCCTGAGTTCCTTCTTTGCAACATCCCTTCCACCTTCTGAATGAGATGTAAGGACTCCGAGATCTCCATTCCAACTCATATCTGATGAAGGGAGTGTTGACTCTTGAAAGCTCATACCCCGAAAATCTTCTTGGTCTCCGTGCTAGTGGACTTAAGTCTAGTTGTTCTACTGCAGACCAATATGGCTACCCCCTGAAATTATTCTTTTATATTTATTAGACAGTGGCATTGTGGGTAAGTGTTCTCAGGATTTGTACTTGTATCAAATCATTTACTTACCAGTGTTGATTACTAAATTTTGCAGTGGTCCATCTCAGACATCTTTTCCTTCATATGTAATTCTGACTTCTCTCTGACCTGTTAAGTGTGTCACAATCTGTAGATTTTGGTTGCTTTCTTGAGAACCTCAAGACTACTTCTGCAAGTACAGGATGCCTTTGATTTTCAGCTCCTGTTGATATCTAGAGTTTCAAGAGGTTTTTTAACGTAACGTAATATTCTGAGAGACAAATCCTACTGAGTGCATGCAAGCTCTTGGACAGATCTGAAAATGCTTTTTAGATCTCGTCTAGAGTTTGTATTGATTTTTAAGTCCTTCCCTAAAGTTTTGCTGAACCTGCAGAAATTATTTACATGATTAAATAACATGCAAGGAACACTGTCCAGGTAATGATGAATTCATTTCTAGTCTCCTTTGCATAAAACATTTACCCAAGGAGCTAGCTAGTAAACCAGTATCATGGGAATTAATACTGTAGTAGATCTACTTAGACGTTACTGATTTCTGCTTTGTATTTTAAGGAACCAATTCTCTGCTTCAGTATGAAATTTTTCCAGGACCTGGGCATGAGATTTTTCAGATAAACTCTGATACTGGTGAGATTACAACAGCCATTTCACTTGACAGGGAAGCACAAGAGATCTTCACTATTAAAGGTAAAAACAATTGGGATGTGACATGGAAAGCTTCATGTTATGTAGGCATCTAACCATGTTGGACATGATCCAGTGGATGTTACATAGATTGTGCATGTGTTTGAAGTGGTATTTTTCTCCATTGGGGTTTTATTGGAAGAAATACACTGTGTCTTATGCTTATTGTATTCAAATAAAGTGAAAAAAGAACAGCATAGTATTTTCAAAAACACGTGCTTATGTTTTGTCATAGGAGGAATTTCATATTTAGTTTGCTGTTCTGATATTACTGGTGAGCAGTCAAACTACCTAAATATGTTATTAGAAATTAACTCTGTAATGTGCCTCTCTACTCAGTGCTGGTTCGAGACAGTGGAAGCCCCGTTTTATCCAGCACAGCATCAGTTGTCATCAGAATACTGGATACAAATGACCACACTCCCAAGTTCCTCCTTCCTGTTTCCGAGATTCAGATTCTGGAGAATCAAGACCCTTCAGTAATATCAACTATACTGGCTGTGGACATGGATGCTGGCAGTAATGGAACTGTGCAATGTCACATCATTGGTAAAGTACAGTGCTTTGTAATGACAAACAAATGTTTATTATTTGCAATTACATCATTTATAGTCCACTGTTCTTACCGAGAATCAAGGCAGAAATCCAAAGCTATTTTATTTAGCTTTCTTTTTTTAAATTTTCCACTTATGTTACAGTTTGTGTTCTTTGGCACAATTAAAGCCTTGTGCTTAACAGTGCAATCTTAAACAAAATTGCACCCTTCTAAGCCCACTGCTTGTCTGTTTAGGATTACACTGTAAATCACTGTGTCCTGCAATACAGGAAATAGACTTGTGCTTGCAGGAGTTGTATTAAGTCAGTGTGCGCAGAGTGAAACTGCAGCATCTCTTTTTCAAACTAATAGTGTTTCCTGTGCTCTGAAGGCCCTGTCTGTAAAAATGTTGATAATTTGTATCCCCTGCAGCCAGTATGACTTGTGCTATGAGAAATTCTGGGCTACATAATTCCTTTCCTTTTGCCATTTTTATCAGTCCACAGGTCCAAAGAGGTATTAGTACAGAGTGACGGGTTTTGATATATACTATATTTCAGATGATAGACTTCTGCACCACTGATCTGTTCTGAGTTCAAATATGTGTGTGTGTGTTTTTTAAAAAAATTGGTCTACTAAGAGCATATATTGGGGATTTTGGATCTCATTAAATGAAAAAAATGCCTGTGCCTCAGAGGTACAGCATATTTTATTCCAGTAACAGGCCACTTTTCAGCAGTTCCGAAACAGATTTTTTTTCATGCAGAAAGTTCCCAGGTCCAGTCTCTAGCCTCTGCTGGACATTAGGTTGCAGTTGTTGAGAGAGAGAGAGAGAGAGATCTTTCTCTGCTTGAGACCCTGGAAAGCAGATGCCAGTCAGAGGAGACAATGATTAAGCAATGGGCCAGTGGCCTGATTTGGTATAAGACCACATCATATGTTCATACATGTTTTTTTGTGTTACCTTTGCTGTGGAAACTTCCTGGTTCACTTTTTAAAAAGATCTTATATTCTATTTTACCATAATTGTTTCACAATCTTTTTTCATTTTTAAGAAATGAATAACTCTATTAATACTTCAGCCCAACTCTTGTAGATAGGAATGAGCAAAATGCCTCTATTCCTTTTTTGTGGTTAATGTAGATTTCCGCTGTGTCACCGAAGCTGGCAAACACTACCTTAGTCAGAAGCACAGTTACAGTAGATTTTACAAGGTGAATTTGGGGAGGGTGGAGGGAAGACATTCATCTGGCAAAAGAGTTGCTTTGTAAATTGATGCTTTTGCATTTACTGTCATCACTGTCCACAAGCTTAAATGAAAACCAGGTTTTAATTCTCATAAAAGTTGGGGATCCAGGTATCCTAAGGCACATCATTACAAAAACTGTACTAGCCATTGGATTATATCGCTGCAGTTAGCTAAGTTGACCTACTGAGAGATTTTCAGAATTTTAACTAGTCTGCTGACCTTTATTTTTGCTTAATTTTTAAAGATGGAAACATTAGAGGATACTTTGCTTTGAATGAAACTTCTGGAGACCTCTCCACCACTTGTGGCTTGGACAGAGAGATTGTCAGCAACTTTACTATCAATATTGAGTGCTCTGACTTGGGCAATCCACAGAAAAGCTCCATGACCCATGTACAGATCACAGTCCTTGATGAAAATGACAACAGTCCTTTGTTTGCAAGGAACCACTATCAAACCTCTGTGAGAGAAGACCTTGGAGAAGGATCAGCAGTTCTTGAACTGCATGCTATTGATGGAGATGAAGGCCCAAATGGAGAGGTTAGATACGCTATTATGGATGATACCCTTGGAGCATTTACCATTAACTGTATTACTGGCACAGTAACTACTAAAAAACCACTGGACCAGGAGAAAAAATCTCACTATGTGTTCAGGGTGGTGGCAACTGACTTGGGAATCCTGGGACCAAGAACCAGTAGCGTTACTGTCACTGTGGACATTGAGGATGTCAACGACAATAGCCCTTTTTTCCTACAGAATCCTGTCAAAGCTTCTGTACCTTTTCAAACATCTGTGAATCAGACCATAGCTACTGTGAAGGCCAGTGACTTAGACCTGGGTCTGAATGGTGCTGTGAATTTTATGTTTGAAACACCAGAAACCATGCTTCAGATGGACCCAAATACAGGAGAAATCTTTCTTCGAAAACCTGTACCTCATGAGGGTTTTGTTACCTACCTCCTCATATTGGCTTCCGATCAAGGAGTTCCAGCTAGAACAGCTACTGCTGTTTTGGCCATCTCTTCTGAAACCCTAAGAGAGACTATTTCATTCAGTCACAGCCAGTATGAAGTAACCGTGCCTGAAAACACTGAAAAAGGTGGGTACCCAATCATAATTTGTGCTTACTGTGCAGCTGGGCTACCATGAATTCTCACACAAAGTAAAGCAATGTTTTGGGGATTTTGAACCTGAATGTCTTTTGGAAATAGCTGTTCCACGCTTCATAGCCATTATGATTTTGGCAAAGTGTGTTATCTGCTGGCTTTCTTTGTGTTTGAATTCTCAAAGATATACTGTACCACAAATTTGACAGTGCACCATATTCTCATCTTAGCTCATCTTTCTGAAATACTGTTCCACTAATTTATCGTTCTTCATAGATAGCCTTGATAAGCTTTGTAATCAGAATTCAGCAAGATGATCAAAATGTTGATGCATACTCTTTTAAGTCTGTACAGTAGGAAGTTTTCTGTACATAGGAGACATACATATATGTGTGCTATAATCAGTGTTCCCTCTAAGCTGAGTTAGTGTGAGCTACCTCACAGTTTTTTAGCCTCTGGCTCACACATTTTTGTCTGAGCTCAGGAAAGATGGCTCCAGAGCAAACTGATTTATGCAGCAGCCAAATTGCTCGCTCACAACTTTAATGCCAGTCTCTCACAAAGTAGAATTTTTGCTCATGAGACTCCACAGCTTAGAGGGAACATTGGCTATAATATGTACTTTTCAGCCCTGTAAAATCAAAGCTGTACTGGTATAAAGAGGAGAAGCAGTAGCTCAGAGGTAGATCATTTGCCTGGCAAATAGATGATCCCAGGTTCAGTCCTCAGCATCTGCAGTTAAAGGATCTGGGAATAGGTGATGTGAAAGATGGTGAGACTCTGGAGAGCCCTTGTGAGACTGAGTAGAAAGTACTGACTTTGATGGATCAAGGGTCTAATTCAGTATTAGGCAGCTTCATGTATTCATGTGACTTGCCTTAACCCAGGGGTGTTGAACTCATGTAAAAAAATACCAAGGTTAAAATCATATTGCTTGGAAATAAGTTCCACTGAAATCAGCAGGAGTTGTGTCCAGATAATTAACATTGGGGTTCAGTTGAGCAATTCTAAGACTGGAAAATTAATTTTTATTGTTATTCCATGATCAGTAGATGTATATATGAACAATATCGGGGGGAAACATTCTTGCATGATCTTGTATGTAGATGTTACAGTTCTTTTTTATCATATTTTTTATTTTAATTAGAAACAAACAGAAAGAGATAAAAAATATAAGAACAATGGTGGCAGGTCCACAAATAAGCCTATATAAAAGGTTTTCAATATTTAAAAATATGTCCATGCACAATTGTTATCTATATGGCAAATATTCAAATGTTGATAAAGTAGTAAAGGTGGGCATTTATCTTTTCAGTGATGTAATGTAAGTCTTTTAGGAACAGTAAGGGCATGGAGAGTCCATTTTAGGTGACCATCACTTAGTCTCCAGGAGACGGGCAAATAGTTTAAAAAGGTACATAAGCATCCTCAAAGATGAATGAATATTGTAATACAACATTGATATGAGAATTACTTCTGACAATTTATCAGGAAGCGAAGAAATATTTCTTTTTTTTCTTTTTTCCTGTTGCTTTGGGATGGGAACTGGTTTGTGGTGGGGTAAGCATCCTCAAAGATGAATGAATATTGTAATACAACATTGATATGAGAATTACTTCTGACAATTCACCAGGAAGCGAAGAAATATTTCTTTTTATTTTCTTTTGTCCTGTTGTTTTGGGATGGGAACCGGTTTGTGGTGGGCTTACAGTCCTGTGGTGCCTATGGATGTGTAAATTTGTTACATTTTGAAATCAGATTTGAATGCTAACAGTAAAACAGTGATAAATGCAGTTCAGAATACTGGTTTTGACAGGCACATTGATACTTCTTAGTTAACATGTACGAAGAGCATGTTTTCACACCAAGGATGTCTGTTGTGCTAATGAAATCATGGCAGGCTTCATGTGAAGATCTGCCTTCTCCTTCTGTCATTCCATCTTTTGTATGGCTCTAATACAGTTTGTACTAATTGGTCAGATATTTTAAGGACTGAAAAACCTTCCTGTTAAATATCCACCAGTGAAGGCACAAATGGAGGATGGAGATTTCTTGAACTTGGGTTTACTTCGGTCAGTGCTGGATTTTTGATGTTGAGAATGGGATAGCTGGAGTGTTATTTACCTTGTCACAGTTCTTCCCACTGACAGCAAATTTGTGCAGCCATAGTTGGAGCTAATGTTGAATTATTGGTAGAAATCTTTCAGTTAAAGCCATTTCTGTAATCTCTAGATGCAAATGTAAATTATCCCCTCCCCTAAAAGTCGAGGTTTGTATACATTTTAAATCAGCATGAGGATAACTTCATTGTATGCTTTACGCCAGTGTGTCTAAAGCAGCAAATAGCCTCCAAATGTGGTTGTTTCACGTTGTTTCACATTTGAAACAAGGTTGGCCAATGCTCCTAGTTTCTTTTTATGTTCCATCATGACTATGTGTATATGCATTTTATTAATGAAGCTTTCCCAAGTTTTTATATATGTGTGCCCTTCCTCTTTTTACCGCTGCTGGTGCTGCTACTACTACTACTACTACTACTACTAGCAGCTTCATTTATAGTCTGCCTTTCTTATTAGGACTCAAGGCAGATTATAGATATGAATAAGAACTAGTCTGTCAATCAACCAGCAAATTACAAAGTATGATAAAACATTTCTTATCTAACAGCAGGGGTCATTTGGGGGGGACGCGGGGGGACGCCATCCCCCCGGGTGATGTGCGGGAGGGCGGGGCCTGGAGCTCCCTGCTGGTGCCCGCTAGAGGTCGCCGCCGGCTGTGGGGAGGACACACTTCCGGTGATGTCAGGGGGTGTGGCATATGCTAATGAGTTATGCTAATAAGTCCCCCTAGCTCTTTTTCTACGAAATGACCCCTGCCTAACAGCAAAGATTCTTAGTAAAACAGAATAATACTGGGGGACTGGGCAGAGTACAAGACAGAAAGACCATTCTGTGAATCACTGAGCAGAGTACAAAATATGATAAAACAGATTAACATCAAAGAGTCTTAATAAAACAAAATAATGCCGTGGGACTAAGACAGAACAACTGGAAAAGAAAAACTGTCTAAGGCAGGGGTCCCTAACATGGTGCCTGTACATCCCCTGGTAGCTACTGAGCTATTCAAAAAGTGGGGATTGTTACTGGCTGTCTTCATTCAAATGAAAGGGTTTTCGATAGCTGCAATAGTAGCCACAGCCATTGGAGGATTGAAAGGACTGGTAAGCACATGAGCTTCCCTTACTGTGCAGTTCCATTTCCCTTCCCCCACTCAGGCTTTCCTCCTTTTCCAAGCTCACTCTCCTCCCAATATCTAGACCATTCTTCTAGTATAAATGTAGTTAATACTCAGTTTGTCAGATCAGTGACTTAACTCTGAATAAGGCAGCTTCATGTATTTAGCATGGTTGCCATGTATGATGATCTCGTCCTCTCCCCTCCCTCACACATAGGATTTTCCCTTCTGTCTTCTTTCTCACTGAGCAGCCCCTTTATCTATTTTCTTCTTATTTTTTTTTGTCTAAGGCTGTCCCACCCAGTCACTTCTATGTGTGTGTGTGTGTGTGTATGTACATTATCTGTATCTATCTATATCCATCCATCCATCCATCGTCCGTCTGTCTGTCTGTCTATGTATCTATCATCTATCTTGGGGAGGGGAGGGAGGGAAGGAGGGAGATATCTATCTATCTATCTATCTATCTATCTATCTATCTATCTATCATCTATCTTTGGGAGGGGAGGGAGGGAAGGAGGGAGATGCTGGCCCAGTCTGGGGAACTTAGGGAAGAGACAAAATCACCCTATTATGCTCTGTTTTTGAATAGGCACATGCAAAACTTTTGAAAGTTCAAATAAACAAAATGTTTTATTTAACTTGGAGGAGAAACAGGTCAGGTGGAATCACGTGAAGGGTGTATGAGGTGAACAGATAATAAAACTGAGGTTATGTTGTATTCATACAAAAATCAAATAATTTGTTGCCAACAAGTGTTCCTGCTATTCAACAAGGTCTTTGAAACTTTAAGGAGAGAGGCTTTCTTTTCATTTTCTGCTTAAACACTCAAGCATAAGTTTCTGAGTTTCACCAGCACATAAAGTTTAGAAGGCAGGAACATACAACCAAGTTCCCCAAATCCTTCTTTATACACAAACTAGGGATCACACCTCTTTTCTAGAAGCTATTTCCTTTCTTAACTGGACAGGGATCACTTCTCTTTACTAGAAGCTATTTCCTTTTTTGTCTTGAATTAGGATCCTCCTTGATCCACTCACTTTCTTAGCCTTCTTCCCAGTCCATAATCAGTGCTTAACTGTCTCTTCTTCAGCTGTCAGTTCCCAAATGTAATTCCTTGATTGACTGTCTCAGTAGTATTTTGTTTGAACAGCCTGTCACTCAAAGGTTCTCAGACTCTGTTAGGCATTAACCCTTGATGGTCTGTAACAGCATGTGATTCTTTTGCAAAGCAAGGAGAAAGGTACTGGGCTTGGCTGTGCCACCTCCTGTGGCAGCCATTCCACAAGTGCCCACAAGCTCAAAAAGCCTGGGGCCTTCTGGTTTAAGGCAACAAAACAATCAGTATAGGTAAAATTTAGCCCTTATCTAATTCAAGGAGCTGCGGTGGCTCAAGTGGTTAAGACGCTGAACTGCAGGCTGTGGAAGGTCAGTAGTTCAGCAGTTCAAGACCCGGGTGCCGCAAGATGGGGTGAGCTCCCGTCTCTAGTTCCAGCTCCTGCCAACCTAGCAGTTCGAAAACAAGAAATTGCAAGTAGATAAATAGGGACCACTTCGGTGGGAAGGTAACAGCGTTCCGTGCACCTTGGTGTTTAGTCATGCCGGCCACATGACCACGGAAACGTCTTCGGACAGCGCTGGCTCTTCGGCTTTGAAACGGAGATGAGCACCGCAACCCTAGAGTTGGATTCGACTGGCTTTCGAGCAAGGGAACCTTTACCTAAGGTAATTCAATCTAAGAGCAAAAAAATCTTAATAA